AGAGCTGGCTAGGGACACGCCATCACAATAATGATCAACACTCCCACTGAGCTGGATCCTCTCCCCTCTTTAATACAGTTTAATATGCTCTTTCTTTCTAACTCAAATTATATGAGGGTAACCATGGTTTGGTTTGGTTTGGTTTCTATGAGTAGCTCCTGTGCCAGGCATTGGGACAGGCATGGTCTTCTCCACGCCAGTCTAACCTCGTCCTTTCACAGAGAACTTCATAGAATTTCTCCCTTCAAACCTAATCCTCACAACAGCCCTGGGAGGGACAGAGAATTCCAGCTGAGGAAATGAAATGGATTCAGAGAGGGTGAGTAACTTGCCCAAGGTCAACCAGCAGAACCAAAACTTCAAATCCACATCTGCCACCTCCTAAGTCAGCCATGGTGTTCCTCTTGCCTTCCAGAAACACTCCAAATGACACCCTCAACTCACCCACTGACCGCTACACCTTCACCACTTTCTGGCTGCAGGTGAGGGAGTCTCAGTAGTTCCCTCGCTCCCATTTTGAAAGGGGGTGGGGGTGGCTAAAATTCAACAGGGTCACTACGCCTTGTGTCTGGGGAGGGTAGATGTTACCCACACACATACTCAGCGCACTGAGCCACCTCCCCAGCTCTTTTTTGGGTGAGGATGGGACACAAGAGCTGCCACGTAAGAATCCCCTCAGCCATTCCTCACGTGCTGCGCAGCCCTCCTGCCCCTCCCTGTTCCTTTCTCAGGGGAATAGGATGAGCCAGTGAACAGTGAAACTGAATCCACTGGAGGCTCCTTATGGTCTACTGGAGTCTACCCATCTTCTCCGGGACATATCGGGATTCTCTGTCTTCTGGTCAGCCCGTTCATGGCTCCTACACTCTTACCAACAATAAAAGGGTTAGAAGGCAAGAGGCAGACACCATCACTTTGCAGATTTTAGGAGCTCTGGTGAGGATGAATGTGGAAGTTACTGGCTGACGTGATGCTTGAGGGTGATCTCTGTTATTTCATATATTCATGATCACTCTCGCACGAGCTGGACAACTGAGGCCTCTTTACTGTTTTGTTCTTCCAGGTCCTGCGTGACACGCATGGTTCCTTCTGGAGGGATAAGTAACGGCCAGCACAGAGAATTCTACACAAGACTGTCGCCTCCACCATCTGCCAACGATCCTCACGTCCATTTGCACTGTTGATGTCCTCTTACTTTTTGTCCTCTGGTTATTTAACGAGTGTAAGTGTCTAGAGCTGACCATCAGTAATACTAGCCATTGTGAGATTCATTTTCTCATTTAAGAAAAAATATATATCTTTGAGACCAGAGTTTGGAAGGGACAAAATGGCCTTCTACGAGTGCCACTGTCACAGATGAGGCTGGGGAGGGCTGAGGCTGTTCTAGCCACATCTGGAGGAAGATAAGAGTTAATGATGTAAGAGGACGGCAAGGGGGGGCGGTCAGTCTGCTGGGCAGGGCAAGTCCTGTGTGGACCACACCGCTCAGTACCAGGGAGCTCAGGGGAATCGATCTCATTACCTTTTGCTTTTGAGGCCCTCACCCTCTCTGGGGAGGCTGGCTCTCTGCATCTTGACCTTTGATGACCTCAAGAATTTTCTGGCTGCTGCTGGAACCAAGGATCATCTTTTCAGAAATCTGCTTGGCACCACTCCGTGACTTATCTTTCAGGCCTCGTCACAATTATTCATGCTTTGGCAGTATCCTAGCTACAGTCACAGTTCCATTCTTAGGCTGTGACTGAAGGTTACTCTGTCCCAGCCAATGGAGAAGGAGGAACCCATAGCCCCTGGACTCTGGCTCCAGGACACATGGTTCCCACGAGGGCAGGGGCTTACAGGCATCTGTTCAAAAAGCCACTCTCAACCTCCAGCTTTGTGAACAAGGAGTTCGGTGGGGACCACACAAATTGGGAACTGGCCCCCAAATCACAGAAAGTCGGCTTTGGAATGGATTCCTAGGCACACTCTGCTCTACACTTGGGCACACGTTCACACAAACTCAAGTGCTAAACTTGGCCAACCAGCTGCCTGTGGTCTGTATAAAGACCCGCTCTCTTATCTCTCCATTACGGATGACAAATATCTTTTACTTTTTCTTTTTTTTTCCCTCTCTTTAACATCCTGCTTCTATTTTGTGGCCTGTGTTTCCTGCTTTGCGTATTTTAGGTTACTTTAGACATGACCTCACATCCTGGCCAATCGCACAGTAGCTGCTAATTGCAAATGCTTTGCTAATGGTCCATACATCTATGCATGAGGGGAATGGGTTACAAGAAGCAAAAGCCAGGAGGCAATTAGCTAGCATGGCTAAGAACTGGGGCTCTGGAAGTAGATACATTTGGGTTTTAATGGTGGACTTACCTGTGTGGCCCAGGGCAACTTACTTATCCCTTACTCATCCTCTGTGAGCCTCAGTTACCTCGCCTGAATGGGGATCATAATGGCTCCTCCCTCAGAGGGTCATCGCTAAAATTAATATTAGATAATGCACATAAACAACTTAGCATGATTATTATTACTATTATTATTTAGGCTTCCAGATTATGGGTTAGCTTTCTCCCTCTAGGGTCTACATATTCCTGATATCCTAGTTATTCTGCTCAACTCCTCCCCTCCACTTGCCCTTCCCTCCACCCCCACCCCCAGACTGAGCACACTTCCTCTAGGAAGTATTCCTTGATGAGCAGAACACAAGCAATTATGATTTTTTTTTCTTGGTTGTTTCAGGTTTTTCACACAGATGTTTACAATTCCCCCAATTTGCAGGTGAAATCTCTCCAAGGTCAAGAATCCTTCCTTGCCGTTTGGCAGTATCTCAGGTAGCACATACTTCTAGAGCAAAATCCCTAGCAAGTGCTAGACCTTAGTGGGGGTAGGGAATGGGGGGTGAGGGGTGGAGAAGCCCACCTTCCAAGTCACACTATTGCTTCCTTGCGTTTTGCAAAAGCTTCTCATTCAGTTGCAAAATAGCTTTCTTGACTATCAAAGCCTTTCTTTTACAGTAGCTACCTGAAGCCCATCTGAAGAGAACATGCATAGTCAGGAAGCACTGACATTTCCCTCTCTGTGTTGGTTCCAAAATCCATCTCATCCCTGTACCAAGACATTCCTCCACGCTCCAGTTACTTCCCACGTGACGGCATCTGCCGTCATCTCCCTTTTTGGAGCCCTACCTCCCCACGTCACTACCTCACTCCAGTCTACCCAACAGCGTCACTTTCCCCCTCTCTGTTGTGTTCCCTAGGCCCCCCCTGTGGTCCATACTGAACTTTAATGCCTACCCCCCGCCCCCCCCATCTGTCTCTGTCCCCAGTGACCACAAGGCCTCTAGGCTTTTCTCCTGTTATTCTGATTTCCTGGCATTGTCAAGAAGTGGTCTCTTTTTGGCCAGATGTTAAGATTTCCACGTGGAACCTTCCAGACCACCGGCGCATTAATGTTTTACCCAGTACTCTCGTACATCATGTCTGCCTCTGCGGGTAACCAGGGCCTTGTGGACGGAGATCATCTGTTTAAACTGGAACCCTGTCCCTCGTTATGGCAGTTTTATGTATGAGCCTGTGTGCTGTAACCCTGTGGCATAAATATTAAATAATAACGTCTCCTGGGTGAAAAAAATCATTCATGTTAACTGACAACTTCTTATGAAAAATACGAAGGAAATCCAACCTCAAAATTTGGTCCTGACTGATTTTAAAATACAAAGAAAATCACGGATTGTTCAACAGGTAGACGCAAAAGGAGAAACACAGTCTGCCTTTCTACACTCCCTTGCTTCAAAGATATGAAACATCCAAGAAGTAGAGAATGTTCAAAGAAACTTGGGCTGGGCGGCAAATTTCGTTGGAATCAAGTTCCAAGCCCTGCAAGTGTCTCCTAAGCAGTTTTTAGCTTCTGAGAAGGCAGATCCCGAATAATGACAATGCCACATAAATGAAAATAATTCTGGGCAATGACACTGCTCAATTTTTTTTCACATTCTGTGAATTTCCTATTACATCAGTTTCATGATTCAGCATTTTCCGCTTCATTTATGTACAGTAATATGTGGCGAGATAATCCAAGGTCTCTACGGGGTCCTGGGACGTCAGGTAGGCTGGACAGGGAAGGTGTCACCTTCTGTAAATTACTCCTGTTTAGAACTGAAAACACAAGGAAGAAAAGCCATCCAAGGAATGGAGAGGTATTTCTCCCCCCCTTTTCTGAGGACCTAAATTACTCTGGTATTTTAAATGAGTTGGTCTTGAAAAATAGGTTACTGCCATTTAGTTGATGACTAAAAACAGAAGCCAAGAAGTGTGAAAACTGTAACTGACATGCATAACCTAAACGTATTCTCAGAAATGACAATGTTAAAGACGCAGCTAAAGTCACCACTCTGGCGGTAAGCGTGTTAAGAACTAGATTTCTTTCCGGCATCCGCAACTTGGCTAGAGTGACCATGGAAGAGTTGAAGAGCGCTGGAAACGGCCGATTCATCTCCAGGTCATTGGCAGAAAAGGGTCGGGGTCACGAGGACAGGGTGGAAACCAAAAGGAGGGTCGAGGTGGGTGCCATTCGCGGAGAGAAAGAGAAGTTAGGCAGCACGAGAAGGAAAGGAACTGCGAGATTGTAAGGGAAGCCCAAGACGCGTAAGGAGGGGGCTGGAGAGCCGTTCCCGGTGGGGTGGGGTAGGAACTCGGTTTAGCAAAGATCCCAGGTGGAGAGAGGGACAGGCCGGGTCTCGAGGGGAATCTGACTCAGGTCTGGAGCGAGTCTGGGAGGGAGATTGAAGGGACACGAGAGAGAGCGAAGCGCCGCCAAGTCCGGTCCACGCACTGCTCTCTTCGCCTCGGGTACCCATCCCAGGTGCTGGGAGCGCCCGGGGCACAGCAGCCAGGAAAAGAGAAAACTAGCAACACCGTGCCCACTCCGCGTGGCGGAGGTCCCCGGCCCCTCCACCCGCGTCCCCGGGGCCCCGCACGGCGGGGAGGACCCGGGCAGGGTCCGGTGCTCACCAGGTAGCAGAGCAGGAACAGCGCGCAGGCAGGGCGGCTGCCGAGGTCCGGGGGGACGCCGCCGCTCAGGGGGGCCATGGCTACGGCCCGGGGGCCAACCTCAGGCGGCAGGGGTTGTTGCTGCTGCTGCCGCGGCCGCCCGAGCCACGCGCCGCGCCGCTTCATGGCGAGGCCGCCCGGATCCGGGCCGGAACAGGTCACCTGGTGCAGGGACCGGCCCCCGCCCGAGGCGCCACCTTCCCGCCCGCCCCCGGCCGGGCCGGCCGCCGCGCGCGGGGCCACCTGCCGCCGCCGCTGCCGGACCCGCCGCCGCCACGGCCGCTCCCGCCGTCGCCGCCCCCGCAGCCCCAGCCGAGCGCCGGCTCCTCCCCGCCTCCCAGTCCCCGTCCCCTCCCTCCCCTCTGCTCCCTGCCCAGCCCGCCTCGCGGCCGCTCCCTCCGGCCACCAGGCTCCCACTCCTCCCGGCTGCCGGCGCCCGAGCAGGTGGGGATGGACCCCGGTCCCGCCCTCCGGCCACCGCCCCCCGCCCGGGTGGCCCTGCCCCGGGCCCGCCTCCCCTTTCCCTTTCTTTCCTCTCCTCCCCCGCCCCCCTTACCCGCTCTTCCTTTCCGCGAACCTCTCCCCTCCCTCCGTTTCCCTTTTCCCCTTCTCCCTTCTTCTCTCTCTCATTCTCTTCCTAAACCCATCCTCTTCCCACTTTCTCCTTTTCTCTTTCCCGAGCTCAGTCTCTTTCTCCCTCCGGCATTTTCCCAGTCCCACCCACTCCTTTTGCGGGTCGCGCAGCCCAGTTCCCGCCGGTGCAATGGGTTTTGTTCGGTTGTTTTTTTTGGCGAGGGCGCCATTCCCGCTGGGCGCTGGGCGAGTGTGCCCCCTGGAGTTGCACCACGCAACAACCCAGCTTCCAGCCCTTAAGGATGGATTTTGACCCCTGCCAACCTCCACCTGTCCACCTGCAGGGGTGGGGCAGCCTCCCTGCTGGTACATTAGTAGCCGAGGTTGCGCCGCACCCTGCCCGCTGGGTCGCGGCAGGTTCTGGATGTTTCCCGAGGGTTTTGTGCGGTGCTGCCGCCGCCCGAGCCGCCGCGCTCTTTGTTTTAATTGTCCAGAGTATCGGCGCCCAAAGCGGGTTTGTATTTAATTTGTATCCATGTGCCCTGGCTTCCACTTTGGACGGAAAAGAAAATGAATTAATTAGGCCAATGCAATTGTCCTCAAGCCACAAATGAGAGGGGCGAGGCTGTTCAAGTGCACAAACAGCATTGAAAAAAAAAAAAAATCCAGGCACATCTTGGCCTTGGGGACGCAAGTTGGGACTGGCTGCTCGCTGACCGGCCAGGCAACCCAAAGCGGGACTGCCAGTTCTAGACCCGCCCTGGCGCTCGGGGAAGGGCACGACGTTGCCTAGTGGCTCAGACGACTGCCTAGACTCTTGGCTGCTGCTCGGAAATGGTTAACCCGCCTTGGAAAGTTAGCAAAAGCTTCCCCTTGGCACTGGTGGATTTGTGAGGATTGTAACTAATAATAGACTAGGAGTCTGAGAGGACACAGCCCTTTCCCCGTGGAAGTGCCACCACAGTAGGTCAAGTCACAGAAGGCGTAGGAAGAGGCTGGTGGTGAATATGAGATGCCCAGGGCTGGGTTTAACCGGCTTTGGAACCCTCTGGGCCTGGATACGCTCTCAGCCATCTGGGTATGGACCTGGCCACACTCAGCTCCTCAGCAGAGTCACCCCTTAGTTTTTTAGGTCACCTGCGGGGTGTGGCCCTGAGTCAGGCTCTTCTTGGCCCAGAGTCACTCATTGCAAGATGACTCCTTTCAGTGATCATCAGACTCAAGCCTGCACCCGAATCACCCAGGGAGCTTGTGAACGCGCCTGTGGATGGACGGCCTCGCCAGAATTTCCCCGTCGGCAGGTCCTAGGTCGGGCTTGAGAAGCCGCATTCCTGACAAACTGCCAGGTAATACTGGTGCTACTGCTCGAGACCCCATTTCCAGAACCACTGGCTTATAGGAAATGGCCACTTCTGCCCCTCTCACACCTAGCAGTCACCCCATGGGAGCGTTGGAGGGTTTCTTTATTCGACAGATGTCACCACTGCCCCGTCCCATTTCCACAGACCTAAAGAATTCAAATGCTGCTGTGCGACGCGGGAAGCCGTTTGTTCTATAGACTGCGCAAGGGGATCAAGGATTTGGTGGCTTCAGCAGAGATCATGTCCATATTTTTCCTGTCAGGCCAGAAGAGAAACGCTACTTTTTAATGTATGTGGAAGGAAAATTGTTAGCCAGTTTGGGAGCATGGGGCATCATAGGATCTGTGGGGTGTCCCTGGGCCTTTCTGCTGAGTTTCTCTCTGTTGTTGTGCCCGGACTTGGTTGGTCTTCAGGGAGCAGAATGGTTCCCTTTAAGTTGTTTGTAATCAGGATTCATGGACTTGCGGAAGGGTTTGGATTTACCTCGCTGCAGTCAGTGCGGAGGGCCCGCCCCCCATAGGGGCCTGGGCTATTTTTAACCTGGCATGTCTAGCCTCTCACTTGCTCATTTTCCATTGCACTCCTACTGTGCTCAGGCACCACCCAAGGGCCCCGAAACGCAGAGGTGGCAGGACCCGCCCTTTCCATGGGATCGAGGAGCGGCAGGAATGCAGAAAACTGACTTAAAATACGGTTTGGTTCTCTGAAAGCCATCGAAAGCCACCTGCAGGTTGCTCTGGCCCCGGGCAGGGGGTGGCCGTCATGACTGATTAATTCTGCATTAGAGAGGGCCAGAGAAAGAGAAGGTGGGGATTTCTATGCGCAGCGGAGTGTGATCCAGAAGACAGAATGTTATTGCCCTTGCCTCTCTAGCCACTTGTGTCAGTAATTTGAAGGGTGTGGTCTGATATCAGAAGAAGGCCCTTTATTTTAAAAATATTTTGCTTTCCCATTGTAGTGTGGAAGGGCTTAAAATTCCACCATTATAATACATCAGTTTGAATTAAGTTTTAATACTCCACTAAAATGTGAAGCCCCCTGGGGAGACTGTATTAATCTGGCATCCCTCCTTACTGCCTAAGTAAGTCCGTTTATCACATCCCCTCGAACTCCGCACCTCAACACGGAAGAGGGCAAAGGTAGCAGGATCTTAGGGAGGACGGTGAGCTCCCTTAAGGAAGCTCAGGGGAGAAGCATCCCCGGCCTGGAGGGGGAGGGGCTGGAGAGACAAGGCAGAACCTTCACTGCATCTGCCTGCCCTGGCGGGCACTGAATGACATCTTAGGCCTGTAGTTCTCTGCTGCTAAGATGGCTTACAATCGGTACATGTCAGGGACCAATGTAGTTGGCCGACTATTTAAACAAGCAAAATCAACCCCCGGATACACCTATAATATCTTCTGTCCATATTATTTCTTTAAAAAGTTCAGGGCATTTCTACCATCCAAGAATCAGGAAGGACCTAATAACAGAATAAAAGACAATCCTTGAAACTGAACGTAATTTGCTTGTGAAAAACTCCTAATGGGTCTTTGTCTCATTTTGCACTGCACCAGTGGGAATGTACTTTTGGACGGTCGCTGTCCATGCTGATACTTGGAAACTGCATTTGTAGGGACTAAGGATGCTCAGGGTAGAGAGATGTGGCCCTATGGAGACAAATGACCTCTAGGGGTTGCAGGAGGGGAAGGGAGGGCACTACTTGTGAGGCAGAAACACTCATTCTTCCCACTTCCCTCCTACATGAACATCCAGGGCCCGGGCAAAGCCACCTGTTCTAGGGAGCCTTCCCTCTTGACTTTAGGTTCAAACTTCATTGGTCGTTTCTCTCTGCCCGTCTGAGCATTGCCTGTAGCCCCATGTGGCAACTGGCTGGTCCTGCTTCACATCTCAGTCATTTTGTTGGCCTTGTCTCCTCTTGCAAGTAGACCATGAGCTCCTTGAAAGCAGAGGTTATTTCTTATTTTTTTCTTAATTTTTTTTTTTATTTTAGAGAGAGGGGAACAGTGGGGAAGAGAGGGGGAGAAACATCAATGCAAGAGACACATCAATCAGTTGCCTTCCATACAGGTCCCAACCCGGGACCACACCTGCAACCCAGGCACGTGCCCCGACTGGGAATCAAACAGGTGACCTTTCGGTGTGCAGGATGATGCCCAACCAACGGGGTGACACCGGCAGGGGCCACAGATTGTTTCTTAATCAGCTCCACATGTTCCCTGCATGCTGTGTATAGACGTTATTATTCACTAAGTAAAATTGAATCCATCACCTTCCTTTTTGATTTTTTTCTCCCATCCTTCCTTCCTTCCTGTCTCCCATCTTACCTTCCTTGTTTCTTTTCCTTGTTTATTCATGGTTATCTCCTCCGCGCTCTCCCCACGGTCAGGGTTCTCAGGCATCCTGGCGCCTTCTCCTCTGGCCTGCCCTCTCCTCCCTTTCTGCAGTTTCAGATATTCAGAATAAAGATGAATGAACTGTGACATTTGCCTTTTACATCAAAATAGAAGAGAATAAAACAGAAATAGAAGAGAAGATCGCTGTCAGACAATGCACTTTCCATCTTGGTGGGAAAGCCGTGGCCTTTTTTTTCTGCCAAGGATGACCTTCAGGACCTAGCTAAATCCTGCATGCCAAGCGTCATGTTCAGTACTTCCGTTTTTCTCAGGACACCTAGGCTTTACCTTTCCTAAATCCACTTCCTCTCCGTTTTGCATCCTCCATATCAACCAATTGCTTCCTCTTTCTTTCTTCCTTAGAATATTCTATTGGATACCATCCTTCTGTCCCGGCCCCCAGACTCTGTCTTTGGAGCCTCAAGTGTCTGGCTCTGTACACTCTCTGTCTATGGGCCACAGCGCCCTTGCTTTGAGAAGCTGTAGCAAAGAGCGGATGGGCGCTCTTGTGGAACCTAAGAGCTTTTCCGGGTATTTCTGTGGCAATGCTGAAGGTCTGAGAATCACTCTATCTGTAGCCCTGGCGTGCTCCGAGCTATATTTCTGGGCCTGTCAGATAAAATGCTGTTGCTCTTGGTTATTTTTGGCTCTTTGCCTTCCTGAATAGGTGCATATCCAGCTCGCTTCTTCCCCAGTCTGAGCGGGGAAAAGGCAGGCAGCTTCCCTTAGCCAAGCCGTGTCTCGTGTCAGCAGCATGTGCCCCTCAAGCGGGAGCTATCAGGTGCTGTCCGGACTGCACACAGGCTATTTGTGTCGTGTCCCAGTGGGCAGCAGGGCAATTGCCT